TTTCTCTCTCCCTGCAAGCCTGCCTCCAAAACATGTCTGAAACATTTCTGAAACATTTTGGATGGATCTGTTTTGTTTCAGATCTCTTTTGGAGCCTTGCGTTTCATTTCAGATTCAGTGTTTTGGCCGCTGAAATGTCCAAATCCAAAATTAAATTAAATGGCCGCCAACATTTTTTACAGCCTTAATATTCAGTACATATCTGTCTAGATTCTTATCTTGCACATGATTTTCAACAGCTAAGTCTTCATCCTCATCTTACAAAATCAAATGGATCAATATGTAAAAGCCATCAGGAACACATTTTTGGGCTTACTCTTCATTCATGCTGGCTATAACTTTCAGATCTGCTTTGATTTGGCATAGCATAGTACAAGTTTCACGTGCCCGAAAACTCTTCTCTGAACTGCAGGCCAACAGCTTCCTCATCGCGTATAACAGCTTTATATGCGAAGTTACAACTGCTTGTATGGCTTTACCAGCTGTAACAGTTTGGAAGACAAGGAGTGGAAGATTTGCATTTCTTTGGTGCTGAAACTGAATGGCCGTCTTGTAGTAAGTCTGAAGGTTTTGGTTCATTTGTCTTTCTATAGTCAGAGGACATTTGCCACCTTCATCTTCTACTAAATCGCAGTATCTTTCAAGTGTATCTTTCAGACTGTACACATTTTTCTGTGCAAAACCAGCATCTAGTTCATCAATCACTTGATGCCATGCTCTCACTTAAGGAGAGAGAATATTTTCTTGCATGATCTCCACATGTGAATGGGAAGGAGAGACTGGTTGCTTTCATTGTTCCTCCTGCGTGCGTTCAGGATAGTAATGTGCCTCAGGAGCTATTAGATCTTTGATACCAACTCAGCAATGCAACACTTTATTCTTCTCTGCCAGCTTGTATATTCCATTGGCTGATTCAAACAATAACACTTGACTCAGTCTCTTATTAGAATATTTCTGGCAGAATATGCACATCGTCCAGTGAACTGTTGGAGTAGATGATCTGCTTCATGTCCTAGTGTGTTCTTCACTTGATGTTATTGGTATGGTTTCCCTTTCATTGTCTACCTTTCGTGACTTTCTTAACAGTTTCTCAATATGTCTTTTGTGTGTAAAAGAATGGTAGCAAGAATGGTGCCAGTTGAGACTTTTGGAAAATTGCAGCACAAATTCAGCAACTGTCTTATGTTGAACGAGTGTCTCATTTATTTGCACAATTCTAGCAGGTATACTTTAGCTAATCGTTGACTGTGAACCTACTTCAAGACATATGATGCATCTTGTAGATTCTAAGCCATACCTCCCCTCCCATACTTTGCTGGACTCAGTGATGCTATTGGCCCCACTTATTGTAATATCCGTTTAAGGGTGATAAGGGTGAGTCCCTTGTCGACAGTTTCCATTAGGTTTTCATGTCAAGGTAATCTGAAACGGAACAGAGTTGTTATAGCAGTTTTGCAGACCTTTTGGGTATCTAACAATGACCAAAACTAAATTTGCAGCAGCTGTCTTGGTATCCAAAATGACTACCATGTTGGAACTATTACAGTTGATCTCCTCCATTCGTGCAATTTTAGTAATGTCATTGAAATTAATTTTCTAACCATAGTGGGGGCTCAAATATTGACCAAAATGTGAATTCATGGCAGCTGTCTTGGATTCTAATATGGTGGCTACACGCACTACTTGCCAGATTGACAACATGACTTTTCTGACATGGGTAGACCACCTCTTCCTGAGATGCACTGTTGTTGCTTGTGGCAATTAATTGCTTATGGGATGACACATTTACCGTTCTTTTTTACCTGGCTATATGTTCTAAACCTTGATCCTATAGTGACTGCTGCACTGACACCTCCTCACTCTGTCTTCCCTGCAGAGTGAAGGCTCTGTATATACTTTTGTATATTTGTTTACTGACAGATACCTTGCTAGCACTAAAGACTCAAATGATTCATATAAGAGTTGATTATTTTAGAAACTCATATATTCTTAGTAAATGTATATTCTCAAATTAAGGAATGTGAAATAGCTCTAACACTGCCCCCTTAGACCATCCCATGTTTCTTTGCTAACATTTGCAGTGTACCTTAACAATTATGAACAAACCGTGCAATTTTAATTATTTTTGCCAATTAACATACAGGAAATAGTTATGAAGAATTTACTTTTCCAGTAAATTGTCTGCATACTCTGGCACTGCTAATTGGCAAAGGAATATAAATACCTTTTCAAGCAAGTGTTCTGAGTTCAGTTAGGCTAGTTTGTGGGGGTTTTTTAATATGGTATGTTGAAGGTGAGATCATGTGCGCACAGCTTGGAAGCTGCACTAGTGTCAATCTGTACTTCTCACTTGGGTCTTTTGTTCTCCTGTAATTATGTGTGGGTTGATATTCAACTTGAGGGTAAGCAGGTGGTTGATTGTGCATTTGGTATGATTATTGCTTCATAAGTCTGCATTGGAGCCCAAGCTGCCTCAGCTGACTGAATAATTCTTAAGTTAAGAAATTAGATAAGAAATACAAAGGATGCTTCTTGTTTTAAAGTTCATTACTCAGGCCAAATGCTTGATTAAAAAGTATAAAGCAGACTTTTTTATAATGTTCAAGATGATGTTTTTAATCTTACAATTTCTATCTACTTCCCCAAAACAGGCATTTATCAGAGAAAGTTTGCCATGTTTTCATTTGCGGCTTGTTAATTAAAAACTTTTTGATATCTTTTATAGAGTTTAGCAAAACACAATAGAAGTAATATTGGAACAGAAGGTGGACCACCTCCTTTTGTGCCTTTTGGACAGGTATGATAGACTTTTTTCCTTTACTTTCATGTACAAATTACAAGGAAGATAAATGTTTCTAAAACTAATTGATAGAAACCCTATTTGAATTTGTTAGATGGAAGCCAATATCAAGCTTTGATCCTTTATAAGTAAATGATTTGCTTCACTTTGTATATCTTGATTAACAATGCCAATATTAAGGATATTGTCCAATATAATACTGGCACATATTAATCCTTTTTGTTCAGTGTCTAATATCTTGGAGTTTCTAAAGTAAAGTAAGCTGTATCTAGTTTGTCCCTTCTTACTTACGTTTCACAGAGACAAGTTTGGGTTTCAAGTGATTTGTTTGAAGTCCTACTAACTCTGGGAACATAGTGAAGATATTGCTGGATTCTTTGATCCCTACCACAGTATTTAACTTAATCAAATCATCCAGATAATTTAAGAGAATAGTTCAACACTGGTTGTCTTTCAGTTTGTAATTGCACAGACCACATTACAAACAGGAACACCTTGAGCTGGAAATGATTTTCTTCTGTCAAAATTTTGTCAACATTGAATATGAATCTAAACCAGGATAAGGATAAGGTCTTAAATGACAAGGTTTTAGTAGTGTTCAGCATTTACTGCTTCAACTGAAATTACTGGTGTAATGATGATCAGATCATTTCAATGTAGATGCTTATTTAATGAATCCCTATGCCTAACAGTTTCTTCAAAGTTCATAACTGTTTGTGTACTGAGACTTTCAAACTTGTTCTTTTAATCTTTTTTGATCATGTCTCTCAAGCATATCTTCTGTTCTTAGAGGGTAAGAGTATGTGGCATAACTTTGATCTCTTCTTCCTGTACTTGAAGTAGAATTCTGAAGGCCAGTATGCATCTCCCATGGACCATGCTGTCAACCAAGAAAGCTAGTTGTCCTACAATTTTTTGTGATCAAAGTCTTTGGGAGAATTGTACTGTTCTAATGAAATACCAGATTTTTATTTTGTAATGGGAAATAGACAGGAGAGTGGATTTCTTTTAACCTTCCTTTTGCATTGCCAGAAATGCGTCTCTCATGTCCAAGTGGACAGCAGGGAACTTGATCGAAGAAAGACTCTGCAAGTGACAAGTGCCACGAAAACCGTTGGAGAGAATGATGAATTTGAAAAACAAAGAACAGCTGCCATTGCAGAAGTAGCGAAGAGCAAGGAGGTTAGCATGCACATTTGCTACAGTATTTTAGTTACTGTATCATATCATTTTAGTTGAAGGATTTTTCTCAATGTATAGTGCCTGCCATTGTTATGTTTATCTTGAAGATATTTAGGACAGCATAACCTAAATCTAAAACTTTGGGTCCTACTGTAGGATGGAGTGCATTTAGTCTTCTAATCCTGCCTTGAAACACTGGATGACCTTATGAGGTCACTTCCGGCTCTACTTCTATAATCCTAAGAAAGGCATTGTGGTATAGAAAGTTCAGTAGAATATTTTTTTGCATATCTGTTTTTGACTTAACCAGCTCTGCTAAAATATGCATGAATCTTATAATTCAATTTTGCTTTATACAAACAGTACAGTCTGAATAAGCAAATCTTCTTTAACAAGCAATCTATATTGGGATTTTTTGTGATGCTGAGATTAAGGTAATAAATACAGATTATTAAATTTCAACTACTGTTTCTAGCTTCCAGATAACTTTGATTCATTGCTTTTGGTTTCATAGAACTGCTGTGGAACTTAACCTGTTTAATGCATGGGTTATTTTATGTCTTCCTTTAGTTTTCCATTTAAGTTTATTTTTATGATTTGCCTCAGAGTAACTCATAAAAATTAAAATTATATAACTTTTTCTTTACAACCTAATCTGGATATAAGGAAGAGGAGAAATTCTAGCTAGTAAATTACTTTGTTTTGTGGAAATTAACATTTTATTTGCTCATATAAAGCATAATCATAAAAAATTAGCTACCTTAGGTATATTGCATTTTTCAATAGTAACTTAATCTTACGGTTTAGTTTCATAACAAGTTGTTTACTGAAATGCTATTTTTCTTCTTATCTAAAGACCAAGACTTTTGGAGGAGGTGGTGGCAATACCAGAAGCAATCTCAGTGTGAGTGCTGGAGGGAATCGAAACAGGGAAGTGTTCCAGAAAGAAAAGATAACAAAACCTGAGGGGAAGAATGAAGGTGTTTATCGAGAACTGGTAAGGCTTCAGCATCTGTACAGGGCCCTAAATGTGTATTAGACATGTACATTTAAACACTGAGAAATTAGTTTTACTTCAATTTCCTTAAAAGATTGTTTAATCTTCTGTACTCCCTTTTGAAACTGTTCAATTTTCAAGGGAAAACCAAGATGCTGAGATTATAGTTAATCATATTAGCTACTGCAACTACGTAAAAATTATTCAAAAAAATTGTAACACGAGTGATAGATCCCTTACAGTATTCTTTTTTCCTTTCATAAATTTTTTGAAAGGAATGAAGCGGCGATTTTTGAAGTAACTTCCCTGGTCTGAATAGTGGCATTCTTAAATCCCATTTTAAAATCCCAGTTTTCCTTCTGGATTAATATTGGTTTAATATCAGAAAGAAATTTTTTCTGATTAATATTTAAACTGTGCCTTTAATGTTCATGAAATGAAGTGCTGCTTCAGATTTTTAAACTAGCAATAAAACAGGATGGACCAGTTCGTTCCGACTCTGGAACCCCTATTTGTCATGGTCACAAATACTATTTCTTTTTTAGTAAGATGGCAGCTGTTGGTTTGAGGCTTAAAAGTCTCTCTCTTAATCCAAAGCATTACTTTCCAATCTGTTTCACAGTTTATATATGGTGAGAAGTGTTCTCCTGCTTTGTGAACTTTCAGAACACTTCACTGAGCTAAATGGATAGTTAAGGCAAACAATTCTTAAAGAAAAACACATCTATGTTGTTCAGTTCAACAGTCTAAAAGTTTATAAGGTAAGAAACACTTATCATTAAGAGTAAACCATCAAAGATATTTTTATAATTTATAATAAAATTATCATTGGCATTTCTGAGATTAATGCTTAAGGTGAACATCTTGATGAAAATATAGAAGTCTTTAAAACCCAGGTTCAAACTTCTGTAATAATTACTTAGCAATTGTAAAATATTTAAAACCAATATTTACTGCTTAAATGTCAAATACCTTTAATTTTTCTTTTTACTGTTCTAGCATTACTAAAAGCCTAGAGAATAGTATAACATAAATATTTTTATTTAATATTGTTTTACATTGTTTGCATTACAGATGCCATGCCTTCTCAGCAACATGGCTGTTTCTAGCACTAGTTTAGGAATGCCAAATGTAATTGCAGACTAAAAAAAAAAAGAAAAAAAAGCACAGGTCATTTAATGTAATGTGTGTGTCTCATAACTATAATTTTTATTCATATGAGATGCATATTATCATAGTACCTGAGTATCGTAGAACTTTGGTGCATAGTTTTTCAGAAATTAATTTAGAGTACCTTCCCTTCTTCTCACAATGAAGAGCTGACTTTTTTTTTTATAGAGACTAGACATGGGAGAACCTACTAGAAGACAGCTTGCCGTTTGAATTGTAAAACCCGAAGTTGAGGGAATTGCATCAAACATAACATTTTTAAAATGACAAAACTTTAGAGGGAATGGAATTGTATTAAGTGTGGTTTCCGAAGGAGAGAGTCTGCTGTAGAGAATAAACTACTTTCAGTCCTCGTAATTTTAAACATGGGGATAGGCTCTCAGATAACTGTGTCCTATACCATTTGCTCTTTAAAAGTTATGAGAGAGACTTGAATGACCTGGTAGCCAGTTCAGAACATGGTGTGCTTGTCTCTTTTTTTTTTAGCCAGCCAGGTTTTATACTAATTTCAGTTTCCTGTTAGTCTTTAAGGACATTCTAAAGTAGTCCAATAGCCTAGCCTCAATTTAGATGATAAAGGAAACAAATATTTTTACTTGCTGTTGCTTCTGGAAGATTAGGTAAGGAACATGAGCACAATAGGTTTGTGAGATTTTGAACAGCCTTGAGAACCGATGAGCAAATACCTTCATCAGAAGTTAGTCTCACTGTGTGCTTTTACGTGTGATGGGAGTTTAATCCCCAAGGTTTTATTCTGTGCCCCTTAAATTGAAACAGTGGGTTTTTAATTGAAACCCATTGTTTCAATTTTTCTGTAATGTTGTGTTGAAGGGCCCAATCATTTGTTTTTGTTTTTTTCCTTTTGGTTGGAGCCAGAGCCTGCCCTGCGACTGAGGGTCAAGTTACTGGTGGGCAAGGGAGCCTCTGAGCTGTGGGAAGCTCTGATCCTTACCTCCGTGGTGGCGGTGCCACCCCCAGGACTGCCCAGATGGGCTGCTAGTGGGCCAGGTACTGCCCCAGGTTGGAGGTAATACTGAGCCTGATTGAACTGTTCCCTGAGCCCACTCAAGAAGCAGCGCCTGGGGTGTTTCCAGTGGGTGGGCTCAGGGAAGAGTTTCATAGATTCATAGATGTTAGGGTCGGAAGGGACCTCAACAGATCATCGAGTTCGACCTCCTGCATAGGCAGGAAAGAGGGCTGGGTCTAGATGACCCCAGCTAGATGCACGTCCAACCTCCTCTTGAAGACCCTCAGGGTAGGTGAGAGCACTACCTCCCTTGGGAGCCCGTTCCAGACCTTGGCCAGTCGAACTGTGAAGAAGTTCTTCCTAATGTCCAGTCTAAATCTGCTGTCTGCTAGCTTGTGGCCATTATTTCTTGTAACCCCCGGGGGCGCCTTGGTGAATAAATACTCACCAATTCCCTTCTGTGCCCCCGTGATGAACTTATAGGCAGTCATATACTTTCGTTCCCATGTTCTGCGAGTCTTCCACCCCCACAGCACCACCACACCAAATGCTCCCGTCTCAAACATGCCATACCCAAGCATACACCTCCTTGGTTCTGTTTGTCATGCATCTGCTGATGCACGATAAAGTGCCATTAGCTTTTCTGATGGCTTCGTCACACTGCCGACTCATGTTCATCTTGGAGTCCACTAGGACTCCAAGATCCCTTTCCGCTTCCATGCCACCCAGCAGGTCATTTCCTAGGCAGTAGGTATGCTGGACATTTTTCCTCCCTAGGTGCAGCACTTTGCATTTCTCCTTGTTGAACTGCATTCTGTTGTTTTCTGCCCATTTGTCCAACCTGTCCAGATCTGCTTGCAGCTGTTCCCTGCCCTCCGGCGTGTCCACTTCTCCCCATAGCTTTGTGTCATCTGCAAACTTGGACAGAGTACATTTCACTCCCTCGTCCAAGTCACTGATGAAGACATTAAAGAGTATCGGTCCAAGGACCGAGCCCTGCGGGACCCCACTGCCCACACCCTTCCAGGTCGAAACTGACCCATCAGTTGGATTGGGCTGGGTGCTGCCTCTGAGCTGGGGCAGTACCCAGCCTGCTAGCAGCCTGTGTGGGTGGCCCCAGGGCACTGCCATCGCAGAGGGAAGGTCTGGGGCCCCCCGAAGTTCAGGGGTTGCTTGGGCCACCAGCAGCTTGCCCCCCAGCTATGGGCTGGTTTCATCGGGATGAAATCAGACCCCTCACTGCTTCTGTCTTCAACTTCTTCCTGGTCCCCATGGGTAGTAGAGTGATGGGGAAACCTCCCCACCTCTTCACCTGACTGGAATCTAGGGAGCAACCTTTTCTGCTACACTTGCAGTGTCTGGGAGCAGAGTAGAGGGAACAGCGAATGAAAGCCTCCAGCCTGTTCCGCAGAGCAGGCTGCTCCCCTTCCCTCCTGGGCTGGTCTACGAGGGAGGGGATCAGTAGGGCAAAGCTCCAAGATTGTTTCCCAAACTGGACTGTGCTCCCCTCCCCTCCTGGATCATACCCGGAAGGAGGATTGCTAGTGTTCAGTCCTGCCAGCGAGTTTTGCAAGAAGATATCATGAGGGAGATCTTTCAGGTGTTAATTTTCTTCCAGAGGGGGCATTTTTCCCCTGGGAGAAATTGAATAAAAACTTTATGGTTTCAGTTTCTACCCAGAGAATAGCAGTTCTCTTTGTAGTAACATAATGCCTGTATGTGGCTTATCCTTAACACTCTTGGATGGCAATGAATTTCAGGATCTTTGGTCACTTTCATTCTAAAATGCAGGCAGAGGAGGTTGTCTCATTGGTGGTCATGTTTTATAACGTGGCCTAACAGTTAAAGTACTTGTCTGGGACATGGAAGACCTGGGTGCTGGGACCCCTGGCTTTGAGCGGGTAATAACTTAAATTTTCTACCCCCTTACATTTTCTACATCCCAAGAGAGTGCAAGAGGCAAGTCTGGGCTGGAGGAATTCTTTTCCCCTCCTCTTGAAGTTGAGATACTGTAGAAATGCACATTTCATAGTACTTGTAATTAAGAAACTGTGCAGCATGATAGTACTTTACTCTGCAGCAGCACACATGTGGACGCTACCCCAGCCAGCTAGCCCCACACTGAAGCACCCTTGTGCCCCAGCCAGCCCCACCATAGCATGTTGAGCCAGGGGGAACAGCCCGGGGCTGGCAGACTGACCCCTTGGGCCCCCTGGCAACTGGGACTGCTCCAACCCAGCTTCATGTGCTCTGATCCTAGGCACACATGCAGTTGGCATGCCCATTGAACTCTGGTGTGATAAGCACTGGAGTTTATTGTAGTGCATTAATTTCATTTGTAGATGTGCTCACGGTGTCTTACTGTAGTCTGGTGATCAGGGCACTTATGTGGAAAGAAACCTCTCAGGTTCTGGTCCCCACTTCCAAAACTTTTTTTGAATTAGAGTCATTGGATAAAATGCATGAAGAACTTTGAATGTTTACTTGCCTGCTTCTGCTTTTGCAAGGCATGACTTGGGGCCTAAGCCTAAGGCAAAGGTTTGCAGCTGTTAATCCAGGTCTTACTTGGGCACCTAATTCAGGGATAGCTGTTTAAGTCTGTGAGTGGGTTTTCAAACTCCCCCCTCTCTCTGGGGTTTCCTGATTTAGGCATTTTCCTTCTCAGTGTGGTGAATCAGATTCCTAGGCACCTCATGTTCTTAATTTAAAATAAAAGGAACTTAGGTGCTTAGGATGGGGTGTGTATGATTTCCACTCCTTGAGTTCAGGTTCTAACTTTATGAATGCTCTGTGTTGTCATACCTAAATCCCTTTGAGTACGGACAGATGAACAAGCTATACTGAGTTAGAAGGGAGAGGGAACTTACTGAACATGAGCTGCTCTGTGGTATCTCTTTGTGTATTTGCTCCTATCTTCTGGAAGGTCAAAAGCAAACTCAGGCATTTTACCTCTGAATGAAATATGAACCATTTACTTTTGAACAGGAAATGGTAGTAAGTTACACATTGCCTTTTAACTGAATAATTTGTTTGCCTGTCTTAACTTTGTGAATCTGACTGATACTCATCTGCTAATATCTTTCAGAATGCCTTAAATTTCACAGTCCAGTAATTTTTCTGTAATACTTCTTCTCCCCTTTACACTTTTTAAGTGTGTTTTCACTGAATGCACCCCGCCCCAAGAAAAATCCTGCAACCTTAAAAAATGGACTTGGTTTCAGTGATGTTTACTAAAATAGTTCCCTTTGGGGTATGATTATGTAGAGAGTAGTATGGTAGCTCAAAAGGTGAATATCTCAGAAGTTTGAGAGAGAGAGAATGCTATAGTGGAACTTGATTTCAAACTGCTATTGAAGTCCTTACCATTTGCCACCTATGTATAACGTTAGTATTATCATCATGAGAGAACCTTGTTTTGCATTCAGTTCTAAAGCTTTTTGGCCTCACTAGATTTTTCACTTGCATTGTGAATTAGCTCATTTTGACAGTGCTTATGGTGGCAATCTAATTCCATGCTTTTATGCTTCCTGTTAGCAGTCAAGGAATATTTTTGTTCTTTTATAAGGCAGCTTACAATGAGACTTAAATTTTAACTGTATTAGAAGTATGCTTGTTAGAGGCATTTATTTTACAGTGCAATGCTTGGCTCTGCTGAAATATAGTAAAAAACTGTTTAATTTAAGGGAGTAGGGAGTTCTGATTCCAGAAACACTCTATGATCTGATTCTTTTCTCCTTTACACTCATGGAAGAGAGATGTAAACTGCTAACATTCTGGTTTTGTCAATACTCACTTTAGATATAAATGGTTAGTAAAGGTCCCAGTAATAAGTAAGTAATCATCTCCTGATGTCTGCCCTCCCTGCTTTTGGGGAAATCTACAACTAAAATTTATATAATTATGGTCTTGAAAATATTCTTACCATACTTGTGCCTTCCTCCTTCCTGGTAAGAGGTGAAATGCTGCTGTCTATCAAGCGAGATATATATATATTTGGTGAAAGAAGAGGTGAATTATAGGAATCAGAGTTTGAAACCATCTAACATTATTGCTTTGATTTTTTTTTCGTTAGCACTTAAATGATAAAAAACAAGTTGCAAAAAATCCATCAGTTGAAGTTGCCATCTGCTTCTTTGTATCCTTACCTCAGTATATGCTGCTCAGTTACATGAACTCGTGAGAACTTATTTGCAAATGTTTTATAAATAGCCCTGTCTGAGTATTTATCATCATCCATGAAATATAAATTAATGTGTTAATTAAATATTAATGTGGAATGTAAAAACAAATCTAGGATTTTTATGGAATCTGTTGTAGCCTGTGATTAGTTTTGTGTGCAACTTTTATTACAGGTTGATGAAAAGGCTCTAAAGCACATAACAGAAATGGGTTTCAGTAAAGAAGCAGCAAGGCAGGCGCTTATGGATAACAGCAACAGCCTAGAAGCAGCACTAAATTTTCTTCTGAACAGCAGTAAACAGAAACCTGTTCAGGGACCACCACCTAGAGGTATAACTTGTAAAGATCTGTTTTAATCTGCAATGCTTGTGTAGCAGAGGAATTTATGTGTATTTTAAACAGAAAACAATGTTTGTTCACTGCTAATGTCTTTGCACTTAAGTTAGTGAATATCTGCATAACTATGTTCCTTTAAGTTGTTCAGTGTTAGCCCTTGAATGCATTACACTTGGAGTACCTCAGCATATTATATCTGCAATAGCTTGCTAATTAACCATAACACATTTTTAGGTATCTTAGTTGGGAGGGAAAATTCCATATAATGTGCGGTTCCTATATTTTCCTCCTGAAAGACTAAGTATTGTTTTCTAATTTAAAAAATAACAAAAAACAAGTAGAATAAAAAGAGTTTTGTTTAATTTGCCCAGATGTAAATGATTTGTCTGCAATATTCCTAGGGAAGGGAAAGGGCCGAGGTCGGGTAAGACCTGATGATGAAGAGGAACTAGGAAATGCCAGACCTTCTGCACCCAGCACATTGTTTGACTTCTTGGAGTCCAAAATGGGTACTTTAACAGTGGAAGGTAAGTTGATATTAAAATATTTTTGTGAAATATCAAGCATTGCCATTTTGCTTTTTCAAAGGGATAAGTGCCATCATCTCCATTAATTTTTTGTGATGCTCAGAACTAGAAAAAAAATTAGGTCATGTATGGATCACATATGCATGGTGAGACTTTCCCTCAGTGACTATTCTTCAGACAGGTTATTCTAGACAGAGTATATACAAGGAAAGGCAGTTCTTGGTGTCAAATAATGCACAAGTGCAAATTCAAGAAGTGGCATTATTGGACCTCTAAAAAAGTGGTTGGAAGAAACATCAGATAACTTTATACTGGACTCTCTTTCCTGATTGGCTGTTTATTCCAGCTGTTTCCTCTACCCCTCTCTCTCTACATTCAGGTAAAGACATAATAGGATCCTGATGCTCAATCCACACAGTTGCTCTTGCTGCCATGCCACTTGTGTATGGCAGGAGGTGACTGGGATCTACTTGCTGGTGCAGGGCGAGCGTAGGTGACAATGCTGAGCTCCCTCTGCACCAGCAAGTAGTAAGCTCCCACAGCTAAGAGTCTTGCAGCTGACAGGACTCTCAACATTGGCAGTGTCCCAGCCATATGTATACCATGCACTGTTGTGGCAGAGTCCTGTCAGCTGGTGGTACTCTTAGCTGTGGCATCCATAGGATCGGCCTTTCAGCTGCAGCAGTATCTGCTGGCAAGATTCTGATGGGGCTCCTAGCTATGGGGGCATACCTTGCTGCATGTGCAAATTAAAAGTTGATAGAAACCAGCTATAGTCACAGCATATTTTCCGTCTCTAACTTTTTTATAGCTGAATAGATCTTTGTATAATGTAATAGTTAGTTTGCACATGTAGCCATTCTAAATTAACCATGCAATTAACCAGTTAATTGTGTAATACATGTGATGTGTAGAGGGTGTCTCTTTCTCCTCCCACTTTTTCTGTTCCCTGCCCCCTCCACTTCCACTCCACACCTAATCTTCTTACTTCTGCCTTTCCTCTTCTGTTTTTTTCAATTTAGCTCATCTCCATAAAATTAAACCCCTCCCTCATGCAGAAGAACATCAAACTAATGTTTGCTGTCATCGCATTCTTCACTTTGCTTGTATCTCATCTCTCTTACCTTTACTTTATGATTCTGTTAATTGTAAACTTTTGGGGGCACTGTCTAGGATACTGTTTTCATTACCCACTGTTTATTCTTAATCACTGCACAACTATTAACAATAACAGTGAAATTCAGCAATCATTGTGGAGGTAAGGAATATATTGATATTTTAAAATAGAGTAATTTACAGGTCTAGAGGGTGTACATTAGAGCATTGCTGTCCAACTCACCTGGCCCTTTTGGCTGGGTGAACATTGGTGGGCCAGTCTGTAGGCTGGATGAGTCAGTGCCCAGGGCCAGCACATAGAGCACTGTGTGCAGTGCACTCCCTGTACCATGTGCAGCATGCACAGGCCCTGTTTATGGGCTTGTGCTGCAGGTGATGTGTGGGCTGGAACCAGCACACTGGGTGTGCTGCATGTGGCCCATGGACCAGCCCAGGAATGCTGACTTTGGGGCTGGTCTGGATCAGGCTGTGCCAGAGCCGGTGGGCAGGGCCAGTCTAGTGGGGCATAGCATGTAGCATGTGCCCGATGCTGGCCCCATGTACTGCCTGCTGTGCAAGACCTGGAGTGTACTGCAGGTGGCATGTGAGCATGTGGTACTGGACTGGCTGTACAGGGGGCCAGCAGGATGTGTGTTGTGTGCGATGCCCTGTGCATTAGCTGCAGTATGGCCTGATCTGGACCAGTCCAGGAGCCACCAAGTGCAGCACCTGTAGGACTGGTTCCAGCCCACACACCAGACCAACTCTACACACTATATGTAGTATGTGGGGTTGGTCTGGGACCCACAGGCCAAATCTGGCCTTTGAGTGGTAGGTTTGATATCCCTGCAGTAGAGGCTTCTGAAACTTTGATCTCCTTAAATTTATGAATTAATATTGGGTTATATATAAATCATACGCAGTCTCTAACATGCAGCAGAACCTTTGTGTGTTTCACTAGTGGTTGGGAGTAATAACTGGCTGAATTGCTTGGAAAAAAAAATTCTTATGAAAAAAGCTTTTGTATCATATTGAAAAATATAGTGATCTTGAAGAGAACAACAGGCCAACAATGCCTGTATCTGGCAAATTAGTTGAAATATTAATTCAAGAAAAATAATAAAATACTTTGAAGGTGATGATATGACAGACTCTAACAAATATAGTTTCCACAAGGGGAAAACATGTTTCACTAATCAAAGAATTCTGTTAGAATTTGTAGAGTAGCAGATAAGATGGGACTCATTTACAAAAATGTATTTTGACTTTAAAAAGGCTAGTGATAGTGTCCCTCACTATAGATATAAAAAACCCCCTGTAACTAATCATAAGGTGAGAGGCACATTACTGCTATGGATCAAAAATTGGGTAGGAGATGAAGACTAGCAGTAGGATTTAACAGTCATTTTTTTGTAGTAAAAAGTAGACAACGGGTTGTCTCAAAACTTAACCTATGTGGAACCTTGTTTTATTTTATTATTAAAATTTGCAGTTAACTGTATGTTATGTCAGTTACACAAGTCCAAATACAACCATAGTGAACTTCAGGCAGGGGTCTAGTCAGCCAAAGTGAATGCAGAGCTCTGGGGCAATGGAAGTTCAATGTTGATGAAGGCAAAGTCATATTTGTTGAAGGGGAGAATATGTACTTAAGGTTTATAAGTTTTAAGTTAACTATTTCAAACTGGAGGGCTTTAAACTAAGTTCACCGGGGGGTGAATACCAAAGCCCTGAGGTAAGTGGGGAAGCGGGAGACCTGGAGGAAGAGCAAGCAAGAGAGGGCAACGGGGAGATGCTCTCATACTTCCTGAGAAATCATGGCAATTGGCTAGTTACTTCAGGTGTCGGTACACAAATGCACAGAGTCTAGGAAACAAGCAGGAAGAACTGGAAGTCCTTGCACAGTCACAGAATTGTGACGTGATTGGAATAACAGACTTGTGGGGACAGCTTGGGTGACTGGCATACTGTCATGGATGGGTACAAACTGTTCAGGAAGAACAGGCAGGAGAGACGAGGAGGAGGACTTGCACTTTATAAAAGAGAGCTATATGATTGCTCAGCGCTCCAGTATGAAATGGGAAATAGGCCTGTTGAAAGTCCCTGGGTTAAGTTAGAGGGGAGAGCAGCAAGGGCGATGTTGTAGTGGGTGTCTGCTATAGGCCACCAGACCAAGAGAAAGTGGTGGATGAGGCTTTCTTCAAACAGCTAACAGAAGTGTCTAGATCACAAGCCCTGTTTCTCATGGGAGACTTCAATCACCCTGACATCTGGTGGGAGGGCAATACAGCAGTGCTCAGGCAATCCAGGAAGTTTTTGGAGAGTGTTGGAGACAACTTCCTGGAGCAAGTGCTTCAGCAGCCACCTAGGAGCAGTGCTCTTCTTGACCTGCTGCTCACAAACAGAGATGAATTGGTGGGGAACGTAGTAGTGGATGACAATTTAGGAAGCAGTGACCCCAAGAAGATTGAGATTGGGATCCTGAGGAAAGGACAGATGAAGGGCAACATGTAAGAACCCTGGACTTACAAAAAGCAGACTTTGACTTGCTCAGGGAACTCATTGACAGGATCTCCTGGGAAGCCAGACTGAGGTTGGAGAAGGGTCCAGGAGAGCTGGCTGTACTTTAACAAAACTTCACTGAGAGTGCAGGAACTAACCATCTTGATGTACAGGAGGATTAACAAGTATGGCAGAAGACCAGGTTAGCTTGGCAGGGAACTCTTCAGTAAATGAAATCACAAAAAGGAAGCCTGTAAGAAGTGGACACTTGGACAAACAACTAGGGAGGAATATAAGTGCACTGCTCAGGTATGCAAGGATGAAGTCAGGAAGGCCAAAGAGCACCTGGAGTTGCAGCTAGCAAGGAATGTGAAGGGTAGCAAGAAAGGTTTTTACAAGTATATTGGTAGCAAGAGGAGGATCAGGGAAAGTATGGGTCTCTTCCTGAACAGGGGAGGTGATCTTGTGACAGGTTTCAGAAAAGGTTGAAGTGCTCAATGCCTTTTTCACCTCAGTCTTCACAAGCAAGGTCAGCTCCCAGACTACTGCACTGGGCAGCACAGTTTGAGGGGGGAAGGTGAGCATCCAACATCAGTGAAAGAACAGGTTAGGGAATTTAGAAAAGCTGGACATATACAAGTCCATGGGGCCAGATGGGATGCACCCAAAGGTGCTGAGGGAGTTGACTGGTGAGATTTCAAAGCTTTTGGCCATCTCCTGATCTCCATGAATTTTCAAAGATGAAGTCCTGTATGATTGGAAAAGGGCAAACATAGTTCCCATATTTAAGAAAGGGGAAATAGGAGGATCCAGGGAACTCTAGACCAGCCAGCCTCTCCTCAGTCCTTGGAACAATCATGGAGCAGATCCTTCAGGAATCTATTTCTAAGCACTTGGGCAGAGAAGAAGTTGATTAAGAGCAGTCAGCATGGATTCAGCAAGGGCAAGTCATGCCTGACCAACCTGATTGCCTTCTATGATGAGATGACTGGCTCTGTGGACATAGGGAGACCAATGGATGTGGTATACCTTGATTTTTAGCAGAGCTTTTGATATGGTCTCCTACAGCGTGCTTGCAGGAAAGCTAAGTATGGGATGGATGGACGAACCGTAACGTAGATAGAAAACTGGCAGGAGCATTGGGCACAGAGGGTAGTAGTCAATGACTCAATGTCTAGTTGGCAGCTGGTATAAGTGGAGTGCCCCAGGGCTCAGTCCTTCGGCTGGTTTTGTTTAGTACCTTCACCAATGACCTGGAAGGTGGGATGGAATTATACCCTCAACAAGTTTGCAGATGACACTAAGCTGGGGGGGAGTAGTAGATATGCTGGAGGGTAGGGCTAGGATCCAGAGTGACCTAGACAAATTGGAGGATTGGGCCAAAAGGAATCTCATGAGGTTCA